GGATTAGTGTTGGTCTTGACGACCTGGGAGCGTGACCGCAGAGCCCAAGGGACAACTGCTTGAGGCCGGTCGCGCACGGCCTTTTTGTGGAAGGTTTTTGACGTGTTAGCTCCGTTCTTCAAGGGGCCTTACCGCCGGAGACGGAAATCCGTGAGGTAAGGTGAGGTGTGCATTTTTAGGGTCGACCTTTTCTAACCCCACCCCTCCTTGTGGGAAGGCAGCATCGCTGTCATGCTGGTTGTCCGAGGGAAACACCTTACTGCTGTCACACCTCTCTACAGTCAGCAGTACGACTTCGCCCTCAGACCTTGAGTTGCTGCTTTTAGTCTTACCGTTCGCCAATCGACCTGCCTGGCATGGTAGAACCTGCAGGAACATATGTTCCAGCCAATATAGCTCGGTTGGGTCATCACGATAGGCAAGCCCGATCACCGCGTCAAGGTAGCAGCAGATTAAACGTAATGATAAAGTACACAAAAACGTTGGCAAAATCACTCTGGATAATAAAGCAGTATTATCAGGGTAGGTCAGGGGTAAGAACACATTGTTTTTGAACACATAAATGGGGTTTCAGTTTCTGTATAACCATGGCTTCAATAAGTTTTAGAATGGGCTCTTGAAGATTTTTGTACAGAACTACAAAGGTTGGCTTACCAACCAAATGTTTCACATTGGATGAAGATGTTTGTCTATCCTGCGATCATATTTGACCATTGGGAATCATTTGTCTTTGGAGTCATTTAAACATGTGTTCAGCCAGCCTAACTTGCAGATCATAATTGCGCCTTCTCATGTACGTGTTTCCACACATACATGTAAATTAATAGACACAATGGGATGTGATACAATCGCTTACGTGCTGTTCAGGTTTTTAATGAAACATAAATCTTGGACTGCATAAAATGTCCCGTTGATGGCTAATTTAAATCACCGTTTCAACATGAGACTATTTGAACTACCTCTAAGTGGTAAAATAATGTAAACTCGCTTTTTGGATGCCAGAAGAGTCATAGGTCTAATCGTATTACAACCTTCCCAGTGGTTTATGAATGTCAATAAAAAACCATTATTCATTGTTGTTTCAGTCAAGAGCTACATCTTTACTTCAATAGTATCACTAGTACAAATATAATTGATTTTATTGAATAATCCACGTTTGTAATGAATTGGGCAATGACTATGGAAATTAAGATATTACCCTGTCCATATCGGCTTTCTATATATAGAACGTTTGATAGAACCAATCAGCATATCTAGAAAAGGAAGTTGGTTATTTTTCTCTTCTTCGCATATATGAGAAACATGCTTTTGACTTATGTTGAGTTCTTTTATGTATAATCACTTGCTGTTTTAATTATTTGCCTTCTAGGGAATTTTATATAATCTGAAGGTAAGTTTTTTATCCGTGGTCGTGGAGCTTTCATCGTTATTCTGAACAACATCATTAGCATAAACTTAAGGTAGAAGTGAAGTGTTCGAATTTCTCCATATGCGTTTCACAGCTTGTTCTGTAGACCTCGATGTAGATTGGTTCTTTTTGACCTTGAACCTGAGCTACAAATGTTTTTCATCTCCTAATTTGAACTGTAGGTGTACACTCACAACACACCTAGTGAAAAATCAATTCACTTTATTACAATTTAATGTTTTTTTTCCACGAAGATAGAACGACTGTTCTTTATTCAATAACAAATAGTCCATCAGTTCCCTCTTCTAACTTAATTAATCCCTTCGTTAGACTTAAGGATATTATATCTTAAAAGTGGGTATTAATAACGACTTGATTATTGTTTTAGTAAGATGTTTGTGGAAATTTGTCTTGATATGAAAGTAAATTGTTTAGGATTGGCATCTATTGGTCCATCACGGCTCTATGGCTGAGGCCTTAGAGATGGTGTAACTTTGGGTTGAATTATTATTAGATATGACTTAGAATAGAAGTCAGTGACAGTCCTGATGCAGCTTTTTTTCACATTCTTTATAAAAGTAAGAGGAACCCTTTTCACTCAAAGAATTCTTCCTAGTTGTATTCTTTAATTGAAATGTCTCTCCTATTACATATACTATTGATTCACTCATTTTCACTCATTGAAATATTTCGATTGTACTCACTATTCTTTCTCTAGCTCTTCAGAGCTCAGTTGTCTAGAGGTTAAGAGATCACGCGCGAGACCAGAGGTTCCTGGTTCGATTCCCTTTGGTGCTGGACCGTAGATGTGCACTATTGAGGAGTCCCATACTAGGACGAGACGGTCGTTCAGTGCTCCCAGGTTTTCAGTGGTGGTCTAATATTGATCAACTCGTGATCTCAATCAAAAATCGACACAACACTATACTGATATAAATAATTGCAATTGAATATTTTGTTTATTTATTGTACTCCATGTTTACAATCGTATGATAAACGAACTTTCGATTGTTAAAAATAAAAGATAAAAATGTCAATTGGTAGATGAAATGCAACAATATGATGTCGGTGAGTGAATGCTTCTCATCAAACTGAATTATTTAAGTAAACATCCGTACAATTTTAGATGAAAGACAAAACTACCAGTCAGAAAAGTAGTTCATTTTAAACGATAAAATGACATGCTTATATGCAATATACAAGCGTAAAACAAACATGATAATATGTTATAGGCGATAGAGAGAAATCAGTTTTTGTTAAAGTTAGACATTAACTCCGTTGGAGGTTAGGGGCTCGCGCGAAAGACCGAAGGTCTTGGGTTTGGATCCCGCGAGCCGGGGTCGTCGATGCGTATTGCTGAGTTCAATACGAGAACAAAATGGCCATAGAGTGATTCCACATTTTCCATAGTGGTCTAAATTTAATTGACTCATGAATTCAGTTTTGTCTAACCAATTAAAACCTGATTGTTAGGCCTAATTTTCGGATATCATATCCATTTTATAAACTGTCCAGTTGCAATTTTCATTCTAATCACTTCTCATTATTCTATTTTTATAATTGAAATGATATTTGAATGTTTGGAATGCGCTTCTCTCCCTCTAAATGCAAGTTGTTGCTTCAGGACTGGTCTGCGTCAACACCTGATCCAAGGATAGGGAGTGAAGTAGTCGAACACGTTGACAACTTCACTTATCTTGGAAGTCTGATCAGCCCTAATGGGCTGGTATCGGACGAAATCTCAGCACGGATTCGAAAAGCTCGCTTGGCTTTTGCCAACTTACGTCACCTTTGGCGAAGGCGAGATATCCGTCTATCAATAAAAGGACGAGTATACTGCGCGGCAGTCCGTTCTGTTTTAATTAACGACAGCGAAATGCGGCCATTAAGAGTAGAAGATACTTGTGAGCTACTAGTATTTGACCACAGATGTCTTAGAAATATTGCTCGCATCTGCTGAGATCACCGGGCAAGTAATAGTGAGGTTCGACGCAGGGTATTAGGGAATGATGGTAAATCAGTTGATGAGGTTATGAATCTTCATCGACTGAGATGGTTGGGCCACGTGTTACGTATGCCTGAACACCGATTACCACGACGTGCAATGCTATCCGGTATTGGAGATGGTTGGAAGAAAGTTAGGTACGGTCAAACCAAAACGTCGCATCAGTGCTTGGAGTCACTAACCTCTAGTCTGAGCCATGTTGGTAGATGCAGACTACTTGATTGGGGTTCGCGTGACTGTCGTGGGTGACATGGCTCAGAATCGATCACAATGTTGTCGGTGTATACACTCTCTGTTTTCCCTTAAACTAAGAGATTAAAATCACTTCATATCTTTCTTTGTACCAACTAATTCTTTTCTCCTGTACTATATCCTTATATGCAATCTTTCTTTTACATATTACCACCTCTAAATTAACTACTTTTATGAATCCGGTGTTCATCTTTTTGTGTTAATGAAGTATGGCAACTTGGATCGATGCATATATGTGCCTGGTCCTACGTTGTAGCTGACTGACTGACGAAATAAACCCCATGAAATAAGAAAAACAAAAGTAGATTGAAATAATTGGCAATATTATGAAGTTTATTTCTGTCATTTCAAAAGATCTATCTTTCTGTTGTATGAATTCAACAGAATAAAATTTATCTAACTAGACAAGTCATTATCTGAAATGAAAATACAATAACTTTAAACATACTTAAATTGTAATCAATAGTAAATAATTTTTATTATCAGTTTTCATAAATGACATGGAAGATTTGACCAGACATTACTGACGGAACATCTTTATTTGATTTAGGTTCCATATCAACATGATGTACCAGTAAAGCTGAGGAAACTGGTGTTCTAACATCAAAACATAGTATAAAGTCATTTAGAATAGTAGACACATTACAACTTGATCTACAAAATTCAATTATCATCAACTATTGGACAAACATGACATTTAATTTAAAACTCAATAACAATACAACTCAAGAGGATACAGGTTGAAACTACATAGGAAGGTGTCCGTTCCCTCAATGTTGTAGATATGTCTTGTTGATGAGTAAAAAATTGTCACGAAATGTATACCAAAAAAATCATTTCTTGCTGTTTGCTAACAACCACTTATAGTGCTAATAAACTATTATACAGCCGTTTTCAATTACGTTCAAACATCTCAACATTATACATTCAAGCGCATACTTCTAAGCTTTACTATATTGAATAAATCTATCAGTCACTATCAAAAAAACACAGAATAAACTCACGTGGCTTTCATTATTATCTCAAAATTAATGTTTACTTATTATCGAAACTTATTGGCTTGAAAGATTTCTTCTTAAGAATTTAACTCTTTTTAAGGTACGATTTTCGTATATCTTCAGAATACTTAATAATCTAAGCACTGGAGATTCGGTTTTCATTAGACAATGTAAAACCAGAAGTTAAATGCCTAGTTCTATGAGAAAGTGAATTTGGTATTACAAGTGAATTAGAAAGTAAAACTCAAGCTAATGAACAAGTATATGATTTAAGACAGGAAGGATATGGATCAATCATTAATCATCAGATAAATGAACAAATCTTTGTATTACTTACAGGTCAATGTCTTTTGAAAGTTTGGGCATGGAATTGTATTATGACATAATCCAATATGCTACAATTGAATAGAATTGATATATTTTATTATTTCGAAATGTAATTGTTATATCCCAACGAGAATAATGAATGGTAACTGTTGGGATCCTTTTATGAACTAATACTATACATATATTCTTATGGTATAATTGTTAAGTAGCTAAACTATGCATATTTAGGTTTCTCTTATTAAACAATTTATTTTGACCCATGGACTATTATTATACGATTTACCATTCTTGATTTATGCCCAGTTAATTAATTAAAATCTCTCACATTCACAGCCACTTTTTTGGCTAGATCTTGTATAAATGTGTATTTTGTATTTTATGATACGATGTGATCTGCTTGGTTTGTATATAAATCCAGTATGTTTGAAATACATGATTCATATCGCGGAGGCTGATATTGGTGTTCTGGACTTAACAGTCAGGGCTAAGTAAGAAGAAGGACTGATAAGGATTCTAGACTACTCGTACAGGTTTTATGCGTCATTGGTCCGGTTGATAAGTCACTGTTCTCTAATTGGTGGTATCACTACGTTATACATTACTAGAAACCAAGACCACAAGTTATAACACGTTCATCATATGATTGTAAAAATGAAGTGTAATAAATAGACAAGATACTTAGTCAGTAAAGGTAATCACTATTCACTAATTGGCGGCATTGTCACGCCCTATATTGATTGAAGCAAGTCCACAAGTTATAACATTAATCATGTGTTGATATTAAAAAATAATTGAAAATATGATAAACATTACTGAAATAAAGCTTGTCTCAAGTTCAACAATATAAACATATGTAATAATATAATTTAATGGGACAACATAGTCAGTCAATCAGTGGTCTTGAGTGCTGTTAGAGGTATGAGAGCAGTTATCACTTCATGGTTGCCCACCCCAAGAAAAGGTTCTTCTGGAGATACCTGAAAAGAAAATTGGATTAAAGGTGGTCTTAGTGACCTGAGAGAGTGACTGCAGTGACCAAGGGACAACTGCCGGAGGTCGGTCACACACGATCTTTTGTGATCAATTTTCATGTTAGCTCCATACTTGTTGAGACCTTACCAACGGAGACGGATATCCGTGGGGTAAAGCCAGATGTGCGTTTTCAGGGTCGACCTCTTCTTAACCCACCACTCCTTGTGAGAAGGCAGCATCACTGTCATGCTGGTTGTCTGAAGGAAACACCTTACTACCGTCACACCTCTGTACAATCAGCAGTACGACTTTACCTTCGGATCTTGAGTTTGTTGCTTTTAGTTTTACCACTCTTCAACCGACCTGTTTGATATGGTAGGACCTTGAGGAACGGATGTTCTAGCCAGTATAGCTTGATTGCTTCATCACGACAGGCAAGCCCGGCCACCACGTCAAGACAGCAACAACATAGTAAAATGTTTGGTGCCCAGATTCACAAACAGAAGTAATCTCCCAACTTGCAACTCAATGGATTAAAACTGATTATTCTAACCAATAAAATCGTTTCTTAAAATAATGAACAAATACGGAACGTTATCTACATTTCATTTTAAAGAGGCTATAGTTATGTATCATCTCTAATCTAACATATAAGGAGAAGAAAATTGTAATACATTCTTCTTTGTCCTACCATAAACGATGACCCTGAAACATTTTCATCTGCTGTATTATCCTAACTACATTCATCTAATAACTTTATTAATCATTTGATGATTATCTATTCCGTTATTTTCATCATAATGATAACAAGATAGAGATATAAACCACTGGTTACCAACTTAGTGGTTCCCGTGAGACTTAAATATTCTTGAGTTATATCCTCTGTGCTAAGGTTTTGAATGTACATTACTGAAGTAACCTATACTAGGATGAAACAACTGTCTAGGTCTTGTTGCTTTACAATAATAGTCTAATTAAAACCATTGAAAGTTGGTTTCATTGATATGAACAATAAAGAGAGAAAAAAGTGTTTACTTACAAAACAAAAGTTATTTTCATTAATTTCATTCACCAATTCATGAATTATATCAACTGCACCACCGTCTACAAGATGATAACACTACACCGAATGGAATTAACGCAGATAATGAGACACACACAAAAAAAAAGAATAAGTTTTAATAATAAAGAATAGTAGTTACATTGAATAATCAAGATTAAGTCATAATCAATTTCCTGTTTACCTAGTCTAGGGCACTGACTGAATGCTATCCATCAAAAAATGGTAATATGGAGACAGGTTTAATTTTAAGCATCAGTTGAGCAACAAACCCTTGTTGATTTGATTTTTGTGTCAGGTTGTCGTTTAGTTAAAAGCTTTATCAAAAATCTAAAGGGAAGTAGTATTGCACATGGTGTAGTGAACGAGAACATAAGTGGGAATAATCAAATGTATTTGAACTCTAAGTTACAGAATCCTTTAGTAAAATCTGAGAATCATACAGTAAATAATTCATTTGATAATACATACTACTTATATCTATCGACATCAGTAGCACACACCACAGTGCGACTCAAACATCAACCACAGTTTATGAGAAAAAGAATAGTTTTGTACGGTAGAATAGTTTATTCACGAATTCCAGGTTAAGATTTTGTAGTCTGACTGACTGTTCGTTGTTGTTATTCTTCTTCATAATAAGCTTCAGTGTTTTCAAGTCCTATATATTTCGATTAGTGTTCTTTAACGACTAAATTAGTAGTCAACGTTTATGCATCCTAGTAGAGCCACTCCCAAAAGGAGTATATTTCACATCACAGACTAACCTAATTAAGTCGAAAACTGATGACCGTTTCGCCCCAGTATGGGGCTCTCAATTAGTGCACATCCACTACCTAACAAAGTGTTTAGCCGAAGGATCTTCTGGTCTTACAACAAGTGTTTAACCTTTGTAGTTAGAATTTTAAACCATTGAATATTAACTCAGTGATTTAAAGGTGAAGTACCTGAAGTCAGATTTTAGGATTTCGAGTTCGACACACTATGATTGGGTCGTTGGTGTTCACTATTAAGGAATCTCATACTAGAACAAAACAACAGTTCAGTGTTTACTAACTTTCTGCAGTGGTTTAATTAAAGTAAATTCATTACATTAATAATGAAATTCAACAACCTCCTTCAGATTCTTATATAACTAATATTCTCAAATTATTTAATTTTGAGAATTTAACATTATGAAGTGAAGTAAACTTAAAGATAGTGGCGAAGATTTGTAGCTCAGGTGGATGATTTTGATGGAGTTCCGTTCTTTGAGCTGGATGATTTGGTCATGGAGCTTTCATCGTTCTTCTGAACGACATCATCAGCACATACTTCAGGTAGAAGTTTACTGATGATGTCGTTCAAAAGAACGATGAATGCTCCATGACCAAACCATCCATTTCACACAACGAAACTCCATCGAAAACTTAAAGACCACTTGTTTATATACCTTAACAATTAGAAAGAAAAAAAATCGATTAAACTAAATTGATTTGATTAAAACATACAATTTTTCGATATTGTAACTGTGGTAACATATAACAAATTGGCATAAAATTCTTAAGTATTTTCGGTATAAATGGTTCATTATCCAATATGTATTTAGTAGCATTTACTGTTGAAGTACAAAGTTCACAAACTAGAAATAAAAAAGGAATATTTATAAAAAATGTTTTTAATAGTTTATAAGAAAAATTAAAGTGACTATATGTCAGCCAGTTAGTCAGTTAGCTACAACGTAGGGCCAGGCACATATATGCATCGTTCCAGGTTGCCATACCTCATCAAGGCGGCCTGCTTGAGCATATGGGCTACCTGTTCCTGCCATCTAGATATTTCAACAAGTTATCTATTTTTGTTTGTTTTAATATATCATTATGTCTATTAATCGCACAACCTATTCTGCTGCGTTTCTGAAAAGTGTACAACCTTTGGTTGTCAAAGTTACAAAAAGCTCAAAAAGAGAGAATGTGGTTGCTAGCAATGTACAACGAAAAGAACGTACATTATTCAGATGTTCATTTGCTGGACTGCTAACATTTACTGGCGATCACTCAGCATTTATCGCGAGGACCGACCAAGAAAAAAGAAACGGAAACTTGTTGAAATACTTTGTGCTGAGAATTCTATATTTTACCAAAAATATAATATTGAATAAAGCCAATAATAATAATAATAATAATAATAATAATAACAAGATGAACACTAAATTCATAGAAGTAATTAATTCAATGGTGGTAATATGTAAAAGAAAGATTTCATGTAAGGATATAGTACAGGAGAAAAGAATTAGTTGGTATAAAGAAAGATATGAAGTGATTTTAATCTTATAGTTTAAGGGAAGACAGAGAGTGTATACACCGACGCCATTGTTATCGATTCTGAGCCATGTCAACCAGAGTCTCTAACCATTGGTTACGAAAGTCACGCGGACCAAGTAGTCTGCATCTATCAACATTGCTCAGACTAGAGGTTAGTGTCGTAGTAAACGGGGTTCTGGCATACGTAACACGTGACTATTTGTCAAACTGGGTAACATTCAAATTGCTTAACCAAATCAAAATCAAACGCTTTTCTACTACTTATAAGTCAATAGATAATAACCAGAGTATTTTGTAAAATGTTACTTGATATAGTAACAGATTTTTTTTACTAATGATTTTAACAACATTTCGTGCTGTGTAAATTGAAGTAATCTTATTTAACTTGTGTCATAACTCTCAGTTTGCTTCGTCTGACACGAATTAGACGAATATCTACACTAGATACCCTCCCAGTGTGGATACTACAGGACTTCAATACAGCTCAGATCAAGAACACGTGACTAGCCTGACTAGAACTAAAAACCTACAATAATCACAAGAATATTAAGGGTAAGAGAATATATAACTTATCTAGTGCCTGTCAGACTATCTACAAGTCTGAATTAGCAAACAATCAGTAATTTTGGTCCAAACATCAACTCTACTTTTATAAACGATCACTTATTTTCAAACTAAATTTTAGTTAAGTGTTCGCGCGCAAGACCGATAGGTCCTGGATTCAAATCCCACGGGAGGGATCGTAGACGCGCACTGCTGTGCAGTCCCATACAAGGACAAAATGGTCATCCATTGCTTCCAGGGATTCCATGGTGGTCTAGCTTTACTTAACTCATGAATTCAGCTATTAGACTCTAGTTAACATGAAAACCTAAACAAAAGTAAATATAACAAATCTATAAATAATATCTTAATTTATACTCTTAGTGAATTATTCAAGGAAAGTTAACACTAGATGAATTTCTTGTTCTAGATAAGAACATTATACAAGTATATAACCACAATCCTAGACAAAATCAAACACAAAATTGTTAGGTCTTGTGTTAAGGGCAATAACTTTCGACTAATCAAATGAAATTTAGTTGTCCACTTCTATAACTTCAGTCAATTTATAACATAGAACTAACTTGATGTTACTGTTTCACTCCGAATTTGATAGAATCCATCAGTTATCGCTTCCTACTTGAGTTCCTTGTGATACCTTACGTATATATTATTACACAATCACAAATGTGAATACAAAATTTTTCCAACAACTTTTGGTTTCTGATCGGTAGTAAAGTAGATTGTGAAAAATGTTTTCTTTTTGTGAAAGAATGTCATACAGTAGTCTATCAACATTTCATTAATAAAGAAGTTTAATGAGTCAATCTTATTTAACATCTAATAACATTAAGGTATTTTTCTTTCAGTCATTTATATACTTGAATACTGTCAGGAGTCTCTGAACACTTTCAAGCAAAAGTTGGTTCTTTGCCTTAATTGACAATTATTTTCATTCAATAGAACCTTGATTATTACTTCAGACATTCAATAAGAATTTTAATATAATTCCATATTCAATCTAATATGAAGTTAAAATAAGTAGATGATGACTATAAAAATAGGCGATGAATTTATTCTTACGAAAATGACAGTCAGGTGGGTCCGTATTCAAGATGGACATCTAAAAGGAAAATAACAAAAAAAAGAACAATTTTTAACAAAATTATTGAATTCCTTTGCTTTCTCTGTCTTGATCCGATAACACAACTCAATTTTGTCTATTGCGCTACACTACTTATTAATAATCAGTAAACAATTGCATTTCTGAAATTTGTGTTATAGGAACAGAAAATTTTAATCCCAAACAAAGACAATGCCTCCTTTTCACGAACAGACAGTACAATGGAGGACAATTGCATTTCTAATATTCTTTTGAGCACATGATGTGATACATGTTTATTCGTATCAGAAGGGTTTTTGTGGAGATTGTAGTAATTTCAACAGTTGAGATCATGAATCAATTGAAGCTAGACAACCATGGGAAACCTGGAAGCACTGGACGGCCGTTTCGTCTTATCGTGTGACTCCTCAGCAGTGCTCACCCACGACTCCGCCTCACGGGATTCGAACCCATGACCTATCAGTCTCGCGCCAAACGCTTAACCAACTAGACCAATGAGCCGGCATCCAACATGTTTATTCGTTGTGTAATACATAAATTATTAATATTTACTGCATTGATCATTGTAATTGCATTCCATCAACCTTGTAACAAGTATTTCCAGTTTTTGTACGTTCCGTGAATCTTTGTTTAAATGCAACAGTTTACATATTTGTGTGCTCATAGCCCCGATCGTGATTGTTGATAGTCATTATTGATTTTGAACGAAACGTCCGGCTGTCATTTGCACTTCCTTGTTTGTAATTAGCTTTTATATTATCATTACAGGAACCCCTTTTCGTTTCAGGTATACAGATAGATTAATCACGACAAATACTTTATGAGTTGAGATTCATAGACGATCCAAATATAATTTGTAATAATTTGAGACTTTTTTCCTTATGTTTTCGTCAAATAATGACGATACTATATGTAAAGGGTCATCAAGTGAAGGTCAATTTATTTAGACCTCTATGCACAACTTTATTTTTATCAAACTAATCAATGCGACTACGGAATACTAGAAGATTCGTCTACATTATGAAAAAATGACAATTTTTCAATATGAATAATTTGAACGTACGTCAAACAGATGTACCTCAGGTGGAGACCGTTATCAGACAAGGGCGCTTACTCTACCCCTTTCCCTTCATTCTGGTGGTCGACTGGATTGTGAAAACCTCGACATCTGAAGGAAAACATGGCGTACAATAGACAGCTCAGAACAAATTAGACGATTTGGACTTCGCAGATGACCTAGCCCTCCTATCACATACACACGAAGAAATGCAGATAAAGACAGCCAGTGTAGAAGCAGTCTCTGCATCAGTAGGCCTCAACATACACAAAGGAAAACCAAGATCCTCAAATAGAACACAGAGAACACCAACCTATTCACACTTGGTAGCGAAACCCTGGAAGATGTGGATTCCTCGGAAGCAAAATCGATGAAGAAGGAGGATCGGATGCAGATGTAAAGGTGAGGAATGGCAAATCAAGGGCTGCATTCCTACAACTGAACAACATATGGAACTCAAAACAACTTTCAACCAACATCAAAGTCACAATCTTCAACACGAACGTCAAGACAGTTCTAATGTACGGAGATGAAACATGGTGAACTACTACAACCATCATCAATAAGCTACAAGTATTTATAAATAGTTTTCTACACAAGATACTTAACATCCATTGGCCAAATACCATCAGCAACAGCCTTCTGTGAGAGAGAACAAACCAGCTTCCAGTTGAAGAGGAAATTAAGAAAAGACGTTAGAAGTGTATAGAACATACATTGTAGAAATCAACAAATTGAACCACGAAGCAATCCCTAACTTGTAATCCTGAAGGAAAACGAAAAAGAGGAAGACCGAGGAACACACTGTGTCGAGGATTGAACGCAGACATTAAAAGAGTAGTAACTAGAAAGGATTGCCCAGGACAGAGCTATTTGGAGAATCCTGGTTGACGACTGATTCTCTACGAGGAGTAACAGTCATAATGAATGAGCAAATAATATCAATGCACGTGGACAGATGCGGACACACATTCGACTGGAAAAGTGTGGAAATCTTGAACAGAGGCAATTCCAAAAACACCAGAGCATTTTTAGAGCTTGGCACTCAGGTCAATCACCAATCAACGAGTACACTGAAGTCGACCCAGTTTATCAGCCAATCAGGAAAATTATGGACAAACATAGAACCAAAAATCATACAACCAAAACAAAGAAGTCAACAATGACAGGTTTAAAGTCAACAAGAACCAGTCAATATCGAGATCTACTAAACAAACTGTGAACCATATGTGAAGAAATTCGAATATTTCACTTCTATCGAAAGTTTGTGCTGATGATGTTGTTCAGATAAATGACAAAAGCACCACGATCAAACTATCCAGTTTAGAAAACATAAACTTCATCAAAATAACTAACATAAACAGAAATAACTTACCTTAGCATATTCTTCACACTTTACACTAATAATCTCTATTAATCAAATTACAAAAAAGCAAGTGACTAAAATGTTTACCATTCATTACAACAAACATTAAGGTAGAGATTAATAACAACATTCTGTTTTTGTTATTATCAATTATAATACTGATTCTATCTAAGTGATATAATTTATAATCGAAATCAATCAAACAAACAAACAAATAAGCTGAAAAATTGTACATTGAACAATCTGGATGTAAATTCGATTGATGATCACATATGTAAGTATTAGTAAACAAGTATATCATTAAAGTTAATATTATGATGTGTAATACTTAAGGATTATAATTGGTTACCATAAGATTTGAGTACAATCAAGTTGGACTTCATCACTTTAATGAAGAGAGAGAGAGAAAAAAGACGACACTTCAGGAACAAAGAGTATTCCATGAACAATTTAGTATGAATGTGACTTATTTTTGACTTGTCTAAAATTATTTTTATATCGGAAGAGTTTTTGTGGATATTATGGTCATTTTAATGGTTGAGATCATAAGTCATTTGAAGCTAGAACACCATGGAAAACCTGAACCGTTTCGTCCTATCGTGGGACTTCTCAGCAGTGCTCATCCACGATACCGCTTCGCGAGATTCGAACCCAGAACCTATCAGTCTCACGCACGAGCGTTTAACCACTAGACCGTTGAGCTGGTTGGCATTCAATGGTGTTAATGTATAACTTCAAACAATCCATGAAATTATTTTGAAAAATGAGTTTTAGTTTGTTTTTTTCTTTTAGATTTCATAAATAATATAACAGTAATGTAAACGGAAAAGAAGAATGTCAAAGAGCACATTTCACCAATAAATAGAAGTAGATATGAAAAGGTTGCGTAACAACTGGAAAGAACTGGAAAGGATTGCCTATGACAGGGTTGGATGGTGAGTGCTCGTAAGTGGACTATGCTCCTCCACGAGGAGTAACAGGCGTAAGTAAAGTAAAATAAGAAAACAACTACTCTCTATAGCAATAAACTACAATTATACGATAATAAAAACTGTAACCGGAATTATACCGTTACTAGATTGCACAATCTGTCTACAGGTTATTCATAGACTGGATCATGACGTTATATCTCCGATTCTCGACCGAATATAGAGAACCACAATATTGGATAAACAATACTTTATTCGATACAATTATAAGCACCTTACATTCAGTGAGTGCAGAGTAGAAATTGACAGTTTTATTTATTTATTTTAACACATAAATATTGGTAAAAAGGGGCATCAAATAGATTTGCGCCACACAAGTCACTTGATTTCTGTATGGCCTAGGATACTGCCAGGGTGCTCAGACCGAAGCAGGTGGTTTTCTTGAGGGGCCACACTCGGAGCCTTCAAGCTAAAGTTCTGGTCCAAAAGGCAGTGGAGCAACGTCAGGAATTTCAGTCCCATGGTAGATGGTGACCAACAATAGGTTCATATGTCATTTGTTCCATCAGAATACTGGAGCCCACGTGCACCATTAGATTGGAATCAGGGTTTTCCAACTCCCTTAGGCTAAAGCGCCGGACATTCGCCTTTCATCCTCTCAATTGCGTGAACAACACCCCGTCGCAGGAAGGCAGTGAGTAGGACTTCCCTGACAGTGGCTGTATACGCGTGGAAATTTGAGAGCATTTCGAGAGGGAGAGCTGACTCTCATCACCATCGGCCGTGCCGGTGCATTTGGGGCAGAAATCTATAGTAAGTAGGAAATTACAAAATTAAACAATCCGTAGTATGTGTCTTTCAGTTCTCACTCAATGATAAATAATATCTTTCTTTCTCTAGCCACATCGATAAAGTGTACGTTGACTATGTCCTAAAAGTTCTACAACTTTATCTGCTTTTCTATATCTATCTACTCTATCCAACAACCTTAGTCGTTTGACTTATCGTAATCCTCCCTTACCGAATATAATTAATCTGTCCAACTATAGTATGTGAATAAATAACAACATTCTAAACCTTACATTTTTTGTTTTAAATACCTTTATGAAATTGATTACTCTACCCATTTCTAAATGATTTGAACGGTTATGAACAATCAGTTATTTGTACCTTTACTGTAACTCTTTTACCCTATAATACTGACTGATTCGACTGTTTGCTAAATCATAACAGTAAGGCCTTTTTCTCCAGTGAATATAATCCATAATGTTATCTGAGTTACTTAAACAGATGCGTTATATTTACAATGTGCTAATTCATTGCATATACAGTAATGAATTATGTAATCTTGCTATAACAATCGTTATACTATTTATATAGTAATTTAACTAGAATGAAAATTATTTGGTTACATTCAAGTTTTGAATGTCTCAATCATAACTTGACTTGATCTAAAAAAAAAACTCAACATTTTCAATGATTAGTATCATAAATCTTTTAGATGCCAGTTGTAATATGCTTTAATTTCTACGGTTATTATTCATTATAAACTGAAAACAACCGGAGAATATTCCTGTTGTAACGGGTGGACTGCAGGTTTTGATAAGCAACGTTTATATCGATCGATTCAGTGACACGTAAAACACGCAAGGACGACCTAGAGTCCCGATTGGTCCCGCTTCCTTGTCTAGCCCAGCCAGTTGAGTCTAGAACGCAAGTCACAGCCTTCGAGTTATGAATCATTATATTTCAGACATACTCTATTTATATACCAAACAAACAAACCACATCGTACCATAAAATAGAAAACAACATTTGTACAATATTTAACGAGTGAAATAAGTAATGGCCAATAGGGAATGCCCATTTAGAGTCCAAGGACATCATTAGACTTAACATGATAATGATTGGCACATTATTCTGCATCCATAAGAATTCCGAAACCAGGAATGATTGACTATCAGGACTCAGTAGCTAAGTAGATAACGTGATGGCGTTTGAAGCGAACGGTACTGTTATCAAGTCCCCGAGTGAATATCAACTTTGAGATGCAAATATATATCCAGCTGACGAGTCGCAAATAGGACGAAACGCGCGTCCTGGATTCCACTGCTAACAACTATTCATCTTCGCTTACAAAGCTATATCGAGACAATCCTCACAGGATCCACATATGCTGACATGAGACTGATCAATCGCAGTCCTAAATAACAATGGAAAGATATAAGTAAACCGACACCAAGTGAATTGGATGTATCTATTTAGTTTAGACTCTACATCAGTAGGCATCTATTAAATAATCGAAAACAAGTATCTTATATCTTCTTTATGTAGTGACTCATTCTGTGAGTTAGCTAAATCGGGAAGTTCTTGCCTTTCTTTTAAACACAATCATCAGTACAAACTCTAGACAGAAGTGAACTATACTGTGGTGTCTGTGCTACTGATGTCGTTCACTACAATATGAATTTCGTTACATTTCACTAACCGTTTGTTTTTTAGGTTTCTAAAATGAAGTACCTAACCAGTGCTCTCTGATTTTCCTTAATTCTCCGTTTAATATCAGTTCGCAACAGCAAATACCGTAAAGGTTATATAAAGTATTTAATTTATTAAAAACATCATTGTTCAACTGTTGTAACCGACATTTTTTTCAAATATTAACTATTTTCAAAGCATCAGTATAGGGTGGTGGAGATTGTTGAGTTATGACTGAGATCATGAATCGATCAATATTAGACCATCTTTGAAAACCTGGAAGCAGTGGACGACCGTCTCGTCCTAGTATGAGACTTCTCAACAGTGCACAACCACGACTCCGCACCTAAGGGATTCAAACGTAGGAGCTTCGGTCTTTCAAAATAGTTTAGTTCTTTATGTTCATTGACTGAACATCAAACAATAAAAATATAATCAATTTATGAGATTTGATTGCTTGTTTTGTACAAGTTGGTTGCCAATTTTAATGGAATTATGAAGTTTTGGATATTTACTAACATTCAATATAAAAATAAAGCTTTACCGAACTCGAGCAGGCTAGATTGTTGACTCGAATATCTATAGCATTTGATATATGCAAAAAACGACTCAAATAGTACCACGAACTATTTATTTTTTGAATCTCAATCAAATAATAAATTAATTCGTTTCTTGTAATCAAAACTCCACCTGAATCCCTTCTAGGATTACTGCCTGACCCAAACTCGAATAAAGAAGAAGGGTTGGGAGCGGGGCTAACAACCCTATCTAATCTAGCTATTCTTGATTTTCTTAATCTTAAATATGGACAACTTGTACCACTTGTCACAATGTAAGCATTATATATGATATTTCTCAATAAGGACTTCAATTTAAGTAGTAATATAATACGATAAAATATACCCCATCTATAGCTCAATGCAAAACTACAGACAACTGCCGTTTGAATCATCTTGTGTAGACTAACTATACAAAGAAGTAATCATAGCGCTTAAGACTTGTTTAATCACCTTCTATAATCACTTTTAAATGTTCCCAGTGTATATATTTAAACGCTAACATTAAAAGTGACGACATTTGTAATAAATGATGGGAAGAAAAGTGCAGTTTCAATCAATGTCAAAACTGATGAAATAGTTTAGAAAACCTAGATTAATGTAACCCAATAAACATGTACAGTTGTATATACTCTGCTTTGTGTTGTGACTTTATGTTGTGGCTTTTTATCACGTGATCTATCCACCAATCAAAATACGACTTATACAATCTTAGCACTGTGCCCAACCAATGACATCCGACCGGTATGGGCAGCATAGCGTCCTTATTGGTCCTATGTCCGCCTGTCCCGTCCACTTGAGCCCACAACACCAAATACCAACTTCCACTATGCGAATCATGTATTTCAAACGTACTGTATTTATATATCAAACAAACAGACCACAACGCACCATAAAATAGGAACGTGGAAGGCAGTAGTTAATAAACTGGACCATAAGTCGTACAATAATAAATTATAGGTCAAAATGAAGCTTATAATTAGAGTAATATAAATGTGCATAATCTAATTATTGAATAATTATACAATAAGAACATCTATAGAATATTAGTCCATTAATAGTCCTCGGAAGTTACTCGTGATTTAATCTTCACTAGGATATAACACTTTGAGCCATACATGTGTGAAGGTTAATGATATAACTCAACTACTGAGATTGAAGGAGATGAAATCTTATGCAAATCTTTGACCAATACAGTGGAAGATAGGTGATTTAATCAATAATTATCACTTTACTGAAATGGAGCTTAAATTGTTAGATAGACAAGCAGTATCTCAAATACGTGTACGTGTACATGCGCAATGCATTCAATATGTTGACTATCCATTTAAACGCTTTAAAGATACCCCTCTAATTAAAGTGAGTGGCAATGGTTTGTTTAAATCTTATTTATCCATCAACTTGTGAACAACATACTTATCTTAGTTTCTTGCGAATCTATTCATTTATTACTTAAATCTTTTAACAATGATGAATTATTGGTTTCTTCATTATTTCTTGTTCCGTAAGTTCGGATAAACTGATTTCGCCTTAAAAAATTCCCCTTGTTAATTATATTTTTCAAATGTGTGTCTATCAGGACTCAGTAGCTAAGTAGATAATGCTATGGTGTTTGAAACGAATGGTACTCGGTTCGAGTACCAGAGTGAACATCAACTCTGAGATGCAGGTACATCCAGCTGACGAGTCCCAAATAGGACGAAACACGTATCCTGGATTCCATTGTTAGTCACCATCCATTTTTACTTATAATGCTTGTAAATTAAGGTTATATCGAGACAATCCCCAAAGGATTCATATATACCAATAAGAGACTGATCAATTACAGTCCTAAACAACAATGTGAAAATTCAAGTAATCAATACTAAATGAATTTATGTTTGAACGTATTTCCAATCAAAGCTACCTTAATGAGTAACTTTTCTTGATGGAAAGCAAAAAAAGGGATTTTAAACTTTTCACATTAAGGAAATAAAATTTTTGATCTTCAGCCAAATGAACAATATCAGGAAGATGTCATCTGCGATCCATCTTCGCAAGATTCGAACTCAGGACCTATCAGTCTCGCACAAGAGCGCTTAATTACTAAACCAATCAATCAAAAATAAACAAAACTACTTTCAATTATTATTATTACTATTTTATTGTATTATTTATTAAAGAAGTTACAATTTCGTAATTCAATATGTAAATCTAAAATAATGAAACAAAATAGTTCATGTTAAATACTGAATTACTCTATGAAATTTAAAAAAATATACATGATCATACGGACTGAAATCATGAGTCAATTGAAGATAGACCACCATGGAAAATCTGGAAGCACTGGACAGCCGTTCCATCCCAATACAGGACTCCTCAGCAGTGCACAACTTCCTGGATTGGTTGAAGTAAGACACTAACACCGTCGGGTGCCAACCGTCTCAGTGGTCTAGTTGGTTAAGCGCTTGCCGCGAGACTGATAGGTCCTGGGTTCGAATCTCGCTGGGCGCGGTCGTGGGTCCCATACTATGGTGAAACGGCCGTCCAGTGCTCCCAGGTTCTCCATGGTGGTCTAGCTTCAGTTGACTCATGATTTCAATCTGTGAAATTTCTAAAATCTCCACAAAACCGCTTCTGATACATGATCATAGTCTTCTTTTATTCATAGTAATATAAACTTACTTAAGCGGTCATTTCAAGTAGAAATGTCATTATTGTTTCTATAGTTTCTAAGCACTAAAAGAACAATCAAATGAGATATTTAGTTAGATAGAAATTGAAATATTGAATCTGAAAAACAAGTATATGTTAATGAAGAGTTAGTTTATATTAGAGAGTCCATTAATAGAACGAAACGGCCGTTCAGTGCTTCCAGGTTTTCCACGGTGGTCTATCATCAACCATTACATGACCTCGATGAAAAAACTTATATTAGGGAGTTGATAAATATTCGAAATAGTAACATTCAAGTGTTTGTATTATTTGATATTATAGATATATTCATATCATTATATGGAAAATGTATGTCTATAGGACGATAGAAAAAATTGCATCACAAAAATGGATTCAGTTGAAATGATATGTTCTACTGATGTCGATAGATATAAGTAGTATGTATTGTCAATCGAAATTGAAATGTTTGGCGGCACAAGGTGAAGAAGATCAAAGAAAAGAGAACAAGAACAAAAAATGATTGATGTGGAAACGAAAGAACAATAAAAAAATGAGACGATTGAATGACATTTTTCAAATGAAGTATTTACTGTATGGTTATCAGGTTTTACCAAGGGATTCTGTAATTTTGAGTTTAAATACATTTGATTATTCCCACTTGTGTTCTCGTTCAGTACAATAACAGTAAAAATACTTACTATGCCTACTACTTGGCAATGATACACCCCTTTTTTGCAGAACAGATTCGTTTTTACTGTTAGTGATTAATTGATCAGTAAATTCCAATGTTAATTGTCTGTTATGCAACCATACAAGAAAGGATTAAATAAAGTCATTCATATCTTGATTAATTGCATAAGTAATATAGTGACTGGAAAGTTTAGTCTTACTAATGATTTAGTCAAGAATCTGATCTGTCATTTTAATGACACGCTTAACATAATTAAAAAAGAATGAAATAGAAAGTGCTTAATATTTAGTCGACAGCACTCACAATGAGACGAGAGTCAAAAAGTATATACATGGGGAATGAACTTCTCAACAAATTGGTAATTCTTACAGTATGGAATTAATAAACCTTTATTCTCCATATTCAATTTACCAGTATATAGAATTTTGATCAGTAATATAATGAAATTTTACTGTGTACATTTTGCTGTTTACTTTAGACGGAAAGATTATATTATTCTTCAGATGATATTTATCCCTGATCAATAATTTTTGAGTACCAGGAACCACTGGATATTTGTTTCATTTAAACGTAGGGCTCGTCAGAAGGGTATACTTCAAAACCACACACCAAAGATAGAATCGTGGGTGTTAATTTCTTGAGGGAGAGTACTCACTCATTAAAACCGTTGGGATATAATTTGCTTGAAAACAATCTCAAATTCAAGAAATTCATTGTATCTCGATTATCAGCAAAAAATACTGGTGTCGACTTTTTCTCAACCGAGATTTTTCAACTCCATGGGCTATGACTTCTAACTAGAACTTCAGGAACATATCGCGAATTTAATCACTAGTGAGATCATAATTTAGCTCTAGTTGAAGTGGTTTAATGAAGATCAATTTATTCTGTAGGTAGCATTCGTCACATAAATGCATGTCATTAAAAGTCGACCCGATGATCATATTAATTGTGCTCTTCTTATGAGCTCTAAAATCTTCATTTTCAAACAGCTTATTTTATTAATGAAAATGTCTTTGAAAAACACTACCAGCAAGTAGTTCGAGGACGCAAAATATCTGAAAATGTCTAAACAAAGACTTGTATTGTCGGTATAATCTTGTGGAGATTGTTGAATTTCATTGTGATCATGAACAGATCATAGTTCAACTTTGCCGGCTGTGAATAAGATGCCCATCGAAGACAAAGAAGGATAGTCGTGAAATATCGTGGACTGAATGAAATTTGACACATATACAATTATATATCAAGACTCAGCGGTCTAGCTATTAAGCTTTTACATACTAGATCGAAAGTTCTGATTTCGATTCCCGGATTCGATGTACTGTCAAGTTTCAAATTTACCGCTTTCCAATAATTAATCTCTAGTTTAAATGACTGAATTAAATTGTTTTCTGGAAACTTTTGTTGATGTTAAAAACAAGTTCAGATGAATAATCACTGAAAATAACTGTTTCATTCTAATTTGAAACATTGATCATTCAGAATTTTACAACTGATCACAATTAATATCCTTTATGTCTCAAGGTGACGTCAGTCAGTCCATCAGCTACAACGTAAGAACAGGCACATATATGCATCGGTTCAAGTTGCCATACCTTATTAGCGCAAAAAGATGAACATCAAATTCATAGAAGTAGTTACTTCAAAGGTAGTATTATATAAAAGAAAGATTGTGTATAAGGAGATAGTACAGGAGGAAGGAATTAGTAGGAAAGGTATAAAGTAATTTTAATCTCACGATTTCAGGGAAGACAGAGAGTGTATACACCGACGCCATTGTGATCGATTATGACCCTACCACTGCTGCTACCTTGACGTGGTGGTCGAGCTTGCCTATCGTGATCAACCAAACAATCGTTCCTCAAGGTCCTACCATGTCAGATAGGTCGGTTGAAGAGTGGTAAAACTAAAAGCAACAAATCCAAGGTCCGAAGGCGATGTCGTACTGCTGATTGTACAGAGGTGTGACAGCGGTAAGATGTTTCCTTCAGACAACCAGCATGACAGCGATGCTGCCTTCTTAAAAGAAGGGGTGGGGTTAGAAAAGGTCGACCCTAAAAATGCACATCTCACCTTATCCCACGGATATCCGTCTCCGTTGGTAAGGTCTCAACAAGTATGGAGCTAACAGAAAAATTGATCACAAAAAGATCGTGTGTGACCGACCTCCGGCAGTTGTCCCTTGGTCACTGCAGTCACTCTCTCAGGTCACTAAGACCACCTTTAATCCAATTTTCTTTTCAGGTATCTCCAGAAGAACCTTTTCTTGGAGTGGGCAGCTATGAAGTGATAACTGCTCTCATACCTCTAACAGCAATCAAGGTGAAGTACAATAATAAAAATAGCTAAATTGAAACTGAAAAAATTACATTTTCAACTCGAATCACATGCACTAACATGAGATTATGAATTCACACTATTGATCTATTGTTCCCCATTATGAAAACAATCTCAAAAATTACGAATACTTACTTTGTGTTTATCAGCTGCATGATGTTTACATATATTCTTTATGATTATCTCTTCGTATTCTGGTGATTTGGCTAAAGACAAGCCATAATTTATATGCTCATTAATACCTAAATTGAAAAAAGAATAATGTTTTGAAAATCAGTAGGGTCTTTTTCCTAAAATAAGTCATCAAAACATCGGAGTTAAACTGTTACGAAGTAAATTTTAAATTATACAATCCAACTTTATTAAGACAAACTAACTCTTTTTATAAATTTTTTATCTCTAGATTGAAAGATTTGAGAATGATACAATATGTTATTTATCAATTTTACTAAGCAAAGACAATGAAAGATGGGCGTGCACTATCGTGGATTGGTTAAAGTTAGGTATTAACACCATTTAGTCTCGGCTTTATGGTCTAAAGGTGCTGGGTTGAAACCTCGCGTGCAGGAACTTGGATGAGCACTGCTGAGGAGTCCTATTCTGCGACGAAACGGTCATCCAGTAAAGTGAACGTCATCCATAAGATTATCAGTAGTGTGTGGAGGAACGTGACGTCAAAGATGTTACAGTTATCAGATAGAGTGAAGAGCTTCAGTGCATCGAAAGCACGGGTTTGGCGGAACACTTGGAGACCAGGCGAGATGACAGTTTACATAACAAAATATATCGTAAGATGCCAACAGAAGACTGAAGTCTCTGTTCAATTGAATATATAGTTACTTTGTAACTTCTCATGTCGAACACAGTCCTCCTTTATATTGTCGTGTTTTACACCAGTGTTCACGGTTTTCAATTGTTGTGATCGCTCGTTTCTGGCTGTTTGCAGTAGCTACTGATGCGTCCCAGCCCCGCTAGCTAGAGGGGGAAGTTCAAGCTTGGAATGGGAATTATATTCTGCAAACAGCGAGAAACGAGCGATCACAACAAACATAATTCAAAACGTATATATATATATATATATATATATATATATATATATATATATATATATATATATATATATATATATATATATATATATATATATATATATATATATATATATATATATATATATATATATATATATATATATATATAATCGATATTGCTATGGAAGTTTGTTTTAAACATTTAATCGATAAGTTAGTCAATCGACTGCCATTGAAGTATTTAAACATTTAATCGATAAGAATAGTTTAGTTCATTAACAATTATACGGTAAAAATATACGTATAGTATTGGTCCACAATTGGATCCCAAAAATTACCACTCATTATTCTTATCGGGGCATAACATCAATGATGATCTAACACTAATCGGTTCAAGATCACAATAAAAGTCTTCAGTAGCCCGGAATCTGACTCCAGGTAGATCGTTTGCTGTTGTTATCAAAATATAAATGCCGCCAATCCTCGCATATAATTATCAACTTAAATCGCTTTAGTGTATAACGGAATTAAATAAGCCAAATACGAGAACGAAGTTTCGAATACGTATATTTCGTACAATCGTTGATCTGAACAGACAATCAGGGAGACAGAGAGAAGTAAGCGAACGAGAGAGAGAGAAATGAAATTAAGTGATACTTAATGGAGTAGGCGAGTGAACCAACTCCCCGCAATCAAGTGTTCATCGATATTATGGTCAGATAAAAATAATTTACAAACAAGTCATGAGTAAGATAAGAGATGTACACACATACGCTCACATAAAATCAGTCAATGTTGATAAGCGAATAATTAACTGGGTTAAAAAGTGGCTTGAGAAGAATGAATAGATTGATCTGTCCAGAGGTTAGAATAACCCATGTGATCTTGACATAGTACGAACCCCTACAAGCTCAACAATCTCCACAACCTTATACTAATAATTGTATATTATTGGATTTAGATTACCCAACTTTATAACTGTAAAATTTGACGTGTAGAAAAAGCCAATATTAAGCAGTTGAAATGGTAAATGCTCCATTGACTAACTTCAATAGGACATTATAAGCAATTCATCGAGAATATATGTATTTAAGAAATTTTATACTTACATGATGAAATTTCAGAATCTGATAACATTGTGTGTTTATGGTGACAGAAACCTAGTTTCTAATATATAAAAAAAGAATTATATAACTGATTGAAACACATAAATTATATTTATAAGCAAAGATGGATAGTGGTTAGCAGTGGGATCTAAGACATGCATTTGTTTCTATTTTGGACACATCAACTAGATGTACCTGCATCTTAGAGATAATGTTCACTCTGGGACTCGATTAACAACAATGAGAAAATATAAAAAACAATACTAAATGGATTTAAACTTCATACCATTGCACAAGCAAGTGGCTATCAGGAATCAATAGCTAAGTGGATAACGAGATAGCGTTTGAAGCGAATGGTACTAGGTTCAAGTCACTGACAGAATATCAACTTTGAGATGGAAATATCTGTCTGACTGATGAGTCCCAGATAGGACGAAACGCGAGTCCTGGATTCCACTGTTAGCCATCATCATCCATCTTTACTTATAAAATATAATTGTATATATTTTTAAAATGAAGTTGTTATTAAGAACGAATTATTTTATGAAACTGTCTGTTATATATGATTACAATTTATTCAGGCTAACCGCCTAGTTGATCATTACATATATACTTAAGTCATATGGATTTTGTGTAAAATGTTATTAACTTATGTAATACTTCAAGTATCAAAATAAAGAAACAGGAAATTTAATGATTAAAACAAAAAAACATCATAATAATAAATAGTTTACTTACAGAACATTCTAAGGTAACATTCATATGATGAGCCAATTGATGAATTGTCCTCGGTAAATAATTTGTAATGTCTAGACACTGTTAAAAATGGACAATTTGAAATGATGGAAAATATTTGCAGCTCAGATGGATGATTTTGATGGAATTTTATTCTCTGAGCTCCATGACAAAACCATCCAGCTCAGAGAACAAGATTCCATCACAATATATATATATATATATGTCAATTGTCAGCAAGGTTTATCTGTAATCGTGAAGGAATAAGGCTCAGTAGTATCGTCTCTGACTTCTAGGTTGGGTGACACGTGATAGGATCTAATAGGGAGCACTGATCCGTTCACGGTTACAGGTACATTTTGCTAACAAGTGCCAAATAGCACGAAATCTGTATCCAAAGTCACTTGTTGACCATCTATTTTTAAACAAAGTATACATTCTCCGCAAGAATCTGGCGGGACATGATCGTGAATGCACACTGCCGAGGAGTCCCATCTTAAGATGAAACGGTCATCTAATGCTTCCAAGTTTCCCATGGTGATCTAGCTTCAAATGGCTCATGAATTCAACTATAAAAGTACACATTCCCAAATTTTATGGTTAGCGTTCCCAATATTTGAATGCAACATAATCTTATATTTTCAATTAAAGCGCTTCAAAATTTAGATTTGAAAAAGTGTTCAATATAATCAAAGAACTCGATCCTTATTTATCAGTTTGCAATTAGGATTTTTTCTTAATCCCATTTATTTTGAAAATGAAATATTAAATTGTTATTTCGTACTGTGAAGAGTACTACTTAACTCCGCCTGGAAACCCTCCGGCGGCTATTGCCGGTCCCAAGCCCGGATAAAGGAGGAGGATTGGACATTATTCAAACCTTTAAACTATGCCCTGGGAGTCAGAAAGTCTTCATTTAGAAGAACTATAAGGCCTCATGATGAAAGCCGAGTTCCTTCGGAAGTCATGAGGTTGATGCCACTTCTGATAACCAGAGCAATCATTTATTTAGGTACATGGAATACTCGTACAATGCGGGAGACCGGAGAGTTTTCCAAATTGCTGCAGAAGAGTACTACTTATAAGTAGTGTTTAAAACCTCTTAATTAAAGATAAATATGTTAATATTTTATAAAAAAATTAGTAATAATATGAGTATATTACTTCATCTCTCCACTGTTCTTCGGGAATTAATTTGCATATCTGAGATATTATTTTTGAGGTTAATGGGAGGAATGGTTCATGTTCCATGAACGTTTTAATCAGTCTTCCTATACGTCTACAAATTCCGCATACTGAAGAAAAAAACAAACGATTATGATTATTCAGTTAATAGAAGAAGAAGAATTCTTATATTAGAAGTAAATTTCATAAGCGATATTCATCATGGTTTAATGTTACTGAAGGTACTAGGAAGTACTGGATAAGTGTTATGTCTTAGTATGGAACTCATCAGTAATGAATACTTATAACTTTATTGGGAATCAAATACAAAACTTTCCAGTGTAGCTGTATAAGCTTAAAGTTTAAACTAACTTTTCAATGTTTCCTTATACAAGGGGGATTGTATTTATTTATTTATTTATTTGAAAAAGTACCAAGAAACAATTAGCCACAGTTTGATAATCTTTTAGAACTTCAAAATACCATACAACATCACTCATACTTCACTATCTTGCACTGGTCAACTGCAATTATTGATGATCAAAATTGATTCAGAGTTAGATTGATTACCATACAACGTACGATCCTATTGTAGATGCGTATCACAACGTATGAAATAGAATGTTTAATGAAAAGTATTACCCTTTTTATCATAACTGTTACTGTAAAATGTTTTAATCCATTTTATATGAACAAGATTCAAGTTAAAAACAACTTGAAATTAGGCATAGATAGATAGTGGCTAGTAGTGGAATCTAGGACGCGCGTTTCGTCCTATTTAGGACTCGTCAACTGGATGTACCTGTATCCCAGAGTTAATGTTCACGCCGGGACTCGAGCCCAGTACTGTTCACTTCCAAAGCCATTGCGTTATCCACCTAGCTACTGAGCCCTGATAGCCACCTGTTTGTACAATTACGTGAAGTCTAAATTCCAGTGCTAGCGACTATCCATCTTTGCTTGAAAAGCTATATCGAGACAATCCACACAGGATGCACATATGCCAACATGAGACTGATCAATTGTAGTCTTAAATAACAATGGGAAGATGCAAGTAAAACAACACCAAATGAACTTCGACTTGAAATGTTTTTTTAAAAAAAAGATGAAATGAGTCAAGTCTTACAGAGATGACATTGTGGTCTTTTCAATTGTTCACCGTATATCTAAAGAAAAGTATAAATGTTTGTAAATGAGATAAACAATATTGATTTTAAAAAGAATATTATATAATCTGAATAGTTAAGTAGATATTATCACTGTCATAATGTCACCTTAAAAGGTTTGAATAATTTTTCTGGTTAGCGTTTTTTTTAGCGAGAAATGGAGATAGAAATGAGAAAAATGAACAAGAATTGGATGGAATTAGAAAAGAAGGCACAGGACAGAGTGGGTTGGAGAATGCTGGTCGTCGGCCTATGCTCCATTAAGGCAACAGGCGTAAGTAAGTAAGTAAGTAAGTAAGTAATGTCATCTTAGTTGTATTCTTTCCCTATGGCTAACATTTGTATTACATGTAAGTATTAATATAACAAACTTCTATGTGAAGTTTGTGCTGATGTTGTCGTTCAGAAGAACGATGAAAGTTTCACAACCAAACCAGTCATCTCAGAGAACAAAACTCCATCAAAATCATTCACTTGAACTACAAATCTTTTCCATCATCTCAAAATCTTAATGAAAACCAGATTTCTTAGTGTAGTTTCCCTACAAAACCAATATAACAGAATTGATACTGAAACAGATTTTTATGACAAACAGATATCAACTGGAAACAACGTCAGATGACTAACTTATTCTATTTTTATACAAATAAAATCCAACATCAAGCGGAAACTGTGAAATTCCAATTTATGGTTAAACGAAATACCACCTACTTAAGTTATCACGATGTTACGAGCCTAATTCGTACGACTCTGATTATAAAAAAGTTGTACTTCACTTTGCGAACTAACAATCGAAGTAATGTAAGCAACAATGCTGTAAGTAGTTGTGTAGTTTACTCATTGAATGGGAAATAAGTCATTAAATACATTTTGAAATTTTATTACTTGGTATACTGACTCCTAGTAACTTAAAACATCATATCATTCAAAGAATAACACATTGTTAGTGTAGGGATTTGTGGAGATTGAGGTGTTTTCACTGTTTATTTCAAAAGTCTGATTAAGCTAGGGCACCACTGAAAACCTGGAAACACTGGATGGCCGTTTCGTCCTAGGTTGGGACTCCTCATTAATGTGCATCCACGATCCTGCACCATAGGAACTCAAACCCAGGACTTTTGGTCTAGCCGGAGAATGCTTAATTTATAGACTAATGAGTCGGCATCCAACGGTGTTAATGTCTAGCTTTAATTAATCGATGTACTTATTTATATTCGATAAATGTGATATTTGATTATACTTCGTTGTGAAAGCTTGGACCGGATTATCAGGCAAAACTTTGGATTTACTTTATATTCATTCGCTGAGATTTTACAAATGCATTTTTCCTCCTTAATATGTATCAACAGTTTGTAAGCAATCATTATCAGCTGTTTATTCAGTTCCTATGCTCATCTTTATCTATGAATAGTTTATAAAGGTGAATTCTATGTTAATCGGTTATTGATTTTACTTAGAAAAATATACGATATTTAAATAGTTAAGACAAATTTTTGACAAAAAACATTATCAGAAAGGGTTTTTCTGGCGATTGTAGTAAATTGGAAGCACTGGACGGACGTTTTGTCCTCAACAGTACGTATCCACGACTTTGCGTTCGCACGCGAGACCAAAATCCTTCGGTTCGAATCCTGTGAGTGAGGTTGTGGATGCGCAATGTTGAGGAGTCCCATACTGGAACGAAACAGCCATCTAGTGCTTCCAGGTTTTTTATGATGGTCTAGCTTCAATGGACTCATGAATTCAACTATTAAAAGTAGTATATGCTTTAAAAATGACATTAAAGTTTGACGTTCAATAATAAAACTATCTTTTGATACATCTATTATGAACACTAACTCGACAAATATATATTTTAGGATCAAAAGCGGTTTTTGTAGATATTATATTAATTTCAATAAACCAAAGATCCGGGTTCGAATCTTGCGATCGGGATCGCGGCTGCGCACTGCTGAGGAGTTTCACAATAGGACGAAACGGTCTTCCAGTGCTTCCAGGTTTCCAAAAGTGGTCTAACATCAATCGGTTTATGATCTCAATCAAAAACTTAATAATCTCCATAACCCCTATACTAGTAATTTCAATAGTTGAGACCATGAATCAATTAAAACCAGACCACCATAGAAAACCTGAAAGTATTGGACCGTCATTTCATCCTATTATATGGCTTTTCAGTAGTACGCATCCACAATCTCGTCTCGCAAGATTCGAACCGAGAACCTTCAATCGTTCAATGATGCAATAAGAAATCATTCTATTTAATATTTCGTTTAAACGAGATAAACCATTTTATTAAGCAAAAGATTACTTATACTTTATATACTTACATTCTCTTCATTTCCTAAGGTTACTTCATTGATACCTAGAAACAATAAAATATAAAGTAACAAAAAAAACACTTTTTTTATTGTTTATTTACTTAATAAAACAATGAAAATGTAGAATTGCTTCAATATGGTTTTCATTATTATTTATTTCAGTTGAAACATAATTCAATTTCAATGTTGTATTTATACCATTTTTCTTCTTCTTCTTTCTTGTTCTTGTTGTTGTTGTTGAACGGAACTGAACTGAACTGAACTATTCATAATTCAATCGTTCAATGTTCAATTTATTTAATTTAAAATGTTTGTTTAAATAAAAGAGTAAAGTTTATATTCATATAATCAAAGTATCAAATATATCAAATTGATTACCTGTTTTGTTTTAATGTATTCATCAATGATGTAAATAATTTCGTTTCTACGTATTACGTCATCATAAGTGTTATGAGGTATATTTTGAAAAAAAAACGAATGGTAAATGATCATTTAGTGTTTTTATTCTTAATTACTTAATTAACATTGTTCTTTACGGGTTAATATCTGTTTTATTATTATTATTATTGTTATCATCACCATCAAAGAGAAGAGTTGCCTATTTCAACGAACTTTGAGATTGAATTAGATCTATTTCAATATTTAATTGTTTTTTTAAAAATTTCAAAGGTTACTATGGTGACACATTTGTTTATCTCTTTATCATAATCCTGTGATCCATTTGATAAAAATTATATTTTAGAATGGGTTTTGTGGAGATTTTAGAAATTTCACAGATTGAAATCATGAGTCAGTTGAAGCTAGACCACCATTGAAAACTGGAAGCACTGGACGGCCGTTTCGTCCTAGTATGGGACTCCTCAGCAGTGCGCATCCACGATCCCGCTGAGGAGTCCCATACTAGGACGAAACGGCCGTCCAGTGCTTCCAGGTTTTCAATGGTGGTCTAGCTTCAACTGACTCATGATTTCAATCTGTGAAAAATTATATTTGTTAAAAAAAAATAAGAACCCCAATGAAAATATTATACATTTTAAATCATGCCAAATTTATTTGGATTAGATCATTATAACAATTAATTGAGAGAATAAACATGACTATGATGTAAGGATATTGAATTGTTGACTTGTATAGTGAATTTAGATATTTGGTCGTTGAAATAGTTGGGAAGAAATTGTACTTGAAAGGTTTTGTGCTGATTGATAATCAAAAGAAGAATGTGTTTATCATTTTGAGAGGAAAGAGGCTCGTTTGTGCTAGGTTTTCTATTGAGGTTTCCATTGGGGTTTCCTTGTGTGAGTTCGAATCCCATCTCTGTCGCCGAATTTACTGGGTTTGAAGCGATTACTAGTTCATTTAGACTGCGAACAGAACAAAAATTGTGACCAAAGACCAATAAACTAGCTATTCTATTGCGTCTCAGCCCCGCTAACGTCCCCAACAGTTTGTAAGATTTGAATCCACTTTTAGGGCTCTAATAAGCATGAAATAAAGGTCGATAAGGAGTAAATAACTATTGAAAATCTGAACAATTGTTTTATCCTGGAAAAGGACGAACCAATAGTGCGCATTTACAACCTCACGGTTGAGAACTGAACCAAACAATTCTAGTCTCAAGTTCAAATGCTTAATAACGTATAAGCCATCAACCTCCACAATCCCCATAATGATAAATTAAGTCTTAGCATATTTCTATTGCGCTACGCATCTCCCAGTATATTACAGTATCTAATTTTATGAATTATCCGGTAATGTAGATTGTTATAATTAATCAAAATAGGCTGCAAAATTCAAATCTAACTATACTATTTAAAATACTACTTTCAATCATGGTATTCACCAAGCATGAATGTATCTTTTAACTGTGGTGTTATCATACATGTGATGATAGATAATAAGTCTTGCTTAATAGCCTTTATTCGAAAAATGACAACAAATGACTGTTTTTTATGTTCCTTCAACGAACTGAAGGCTTGAAAGATCTGTGTGACATAATTTTATCTACGATGAAATGTTTTGTAATAGAATATGAGTTACTAATAAGTAGTATACTTAGGGAACATTAATACTAATCATGAATTCACTTGACATCTAGATATCATTTATATTGTTGTAAAATTCAAGTAATGAAGATTAGATTTAATAGAGAATGTGGTTCAGTCTTTACAAATGATTTACATGTAGAACACAAGTTAGTTGTAGCCTACAGAGAGAGCTTGAAAAAGACATAAAGTACAGTGCTAGATAACACTCAACACTAATTGAACACATTTGAATGATCGGCGAGACTATAATTTATGGACAAACCAGTCACGTATAAGATAACAGGTTTCGGATTTTGGCGCGAAAGTCACTCATTCATTCGGATAAATGGAATTTTGGCATTATAGCTGATGTCAGTTCGAAATGATAACCCGAAATCTAATTTCTAACCTTAGTCATCAACTGTAGATTATAATTTCAATACCTCACACTGGTTTATAACCCTCATTCTGTCGTGTTTATTAGGCGGACACTCTCAAGGTCATTTTGGCGTTGCTCGTAGGTCGTCTATAAATTATAGCCTCACCGAATGATCTTATCTAATTACAATTAAACAGCCACTAACCGACATCGCCACTGTAAAGTAGTATTTTTTAACAAGATTCATGACTTGAATTATTATGATTAATAAAGATGAAGTTTGTACTCTTGTAATTACTACTTATTCAAAGTGAACTAAGTTTATTATTTGTCATCTTCCTATGCAGAATTAATAGTGCAAATTTATAAACAAGGGGTTGTCATATTTGAAAACATTATTCAGTACTACAGTCTAAATATAACTAGGCTTAACTTTTAATTCTTCAGTTATGAATAACCTTGAATAATGTATCAGTAAGTTACCGGTTAACAATGCTACAGGACCAAAACACTTATGCAATTAAACAAAAGCTCTACAACACAAGTTATAATTATCTGAACAATAATATGACGACGAAAACTGGGGAATATGGAACGCGACAAATATAATTACCGAGCCTAACACAATCAGTAAATCTGTATTTATTTACATGGCCTGACACACTAATCTGTGATTTCTTTTAACCTTCAATAACGTTAAACAGATTAGCGCATTGTAGTAGGCAATGAATAGGATATGTGTTGCACGAGTTAATAAAAGTCTATAGTTCCACTAATCTATTTGGATTTTGAAAGTTGAATTGATGGTTTGATCCAAGCTGGACCACCATTGAAAACCTGGAAGAACTGGAGAGCCGTTTCGTTCTAGTATGGGAATCCTCAGCATTGCGTACCGATGATCAAGCATAACTAGATTCGAGCCCATGACCCATCAGTCTTACGCGTGAGCGCATAAACTCTAGGCCATTGAGCAGGCATCCAATGGTGTTAATGCCTAACTTCAACCAATCCACGAAGTTACAAAATTCTCTATGGTGTAAATGTTATTTGTCAAGAAAGATTCAAAGGCTTGATGAACTTTTCCCGATTTCAACTCGTATTCTTATTCTAATGCAACTATTTATAATAATTAACTAGTTACGAGAATTCACCCTAATTTTAATTATGTTTCAAACGTTGTGTAACTAACTGATTATAATATAGTTCAATTGACTGATCACCACTTAATTGTTAGTAGTCAGTCAGTCAATAATAACGTAGAACTTAGTACGTACGTACATCAGTTCGAGTTGACATACCACATTAACACAGAGATGCAGTTATCGATTCAAATCCCATAGTGGTACAGGTAGTAAGACTATAAGCAGTAATCGGAAAAATTAGGGTTTGTAGATGTTATCCAAGCACTACAATACAGTGAAATAAATTTGGAAAGAAAATAAAGGACATGAAGAATTCAGAAGATCAGAATTTGGGAGAACATAAAGAGTGGATACACCTGCGCCATTGCAAACGATTTTGAGCCATGTCATTCAAGGTCTCTAACTATCGATTTCTATCGTCTCGCTGATCACCACTAGGTAGTCTACACCTAGCAACATGGCTCAGTTCACTTGTCATTCACTTCATAAACTTGTGCCATGTTTTGGCCGCTCCTAGCTTTCTTCCAACCTAATTCTACACCAGAAAACATCGCACTTCAAGGCAGTCAGTGGTTGAGCATACGTAACACGTGTCCCAGCGATCTCAACTGATAACGTTTCACTACTTCAATTGATTTACCATCCTTACCTAGTACCCGTTTCCTAACAACTGTATTACTTACTCGATGGTCCCAGGATATACGAGCAATATTTCGAAGACACCTATGATCGAATATTAGTAACCTACCAATATTCTCTACTCTTACCTGCCATGTTTCACAGCTATAAAGTAGGACGGAACGAACTGCTGCGCAGTAAACACGTCCTTCGGTTGACAGACGGATATCTCGCCTACGACATAAATAACGCAAGTTGGCAAGGCTAGTCGAACCTTCTGTATCCGTGCCGAGATTTCGTCACAATTCAAATCACAAAGGCTGACGAGACTTCTAAGATAAGTGAAATGTTCGACACTCTCAACTCGGTTGTAAATCATATCATATATAAATTTATAATGTTACAAAACACAGTTCACCGTTTCCACATTAGATGATACTGTTACTAAATAAACTATCTATAACATGTTCAAATAAACTATTATCCGACTACAACTCCTTAAATTCAACTCATTGAGAAGAAGAAGAATTCGGAAGTATTTTTCATATTTATTTAGTAAAACAAATTTCTTATGCAGTAATTGTACAATATTCAATGTTTATGTGCTTCAAAGTTTAATGTTTACTTTAATTCAACACATTATCGGTGTTTTTTACTGATGTGTTTAAGTGTGCTTGTATGTGCATGTTGGAGGGAGATATTGCTGTTTATTCTTTCATTGTATGACAATATGGACAACGACCCTGTTGTAATGAGACCAATTCATAATCGTCAGTGTAAAATAGCTTGAGATTACAGAAAATAAACAACATAGATAAACAGGATAATATTCTTCTTGGACAAAGTAAAAATAATAAGATAGTAGATTACAAATGGAGGTTCTTAGGCAATTTAATGAAGTACACTCAGTCATTATGTTCACATCGGGAGAAAATGAAGGTAGAATGGTCTTTTTGGACGTTCTTTTAATCACAAGAGCTGATGAATTAATACGGAATTTAACCAGATAAAAAATATCTGAGCAAGGCAGTAAACACATTTCCTTAGCTTTATTCTTTTACAGTATAAAAGAAACCTGTTCACAACTCGTAGTTATCGAATAGATACTGTATATTGTACGGTTATAGTTAAAGAGCTAAACACT